GCGCTGCCTCGGGGCTGGGCTGCCGAGCGCCGGGCACACAGCTGCTGCTGCGTAAATAGTGACCCGCGTGCCCCTGCCAAGTTTATGGCGACACTTGTCCTCTGGGGCGTCGTCCCCGGTGTTGTGGTGCCAGGCTTACACACCTCTCTCTTTCCACGTGTGTTACAGGTAGGAAAATGACTCGCCTGGCACAGGAGCAGGAGTTACGAGCCATGTCCCTGTGAGACCTCCAGAATTAAGAGCAAATGCCTGGAGAAGTCCAGTTGCACGGAGCAGCGCCACAGCTCTTGTGAACCACGGGCATTGACGCCTCTCAGACTTGCTCCTCTGGCCCGAGCACTCTGCCAGCGTTTCCTGCCCCACGAATGGCTACTCAGAGGAAGCACTTGGTGAAAGATTTCAATCCTCATATCACCTGCTATATCTGTAAAGGCTATCTCATCAAGCCAACTACAGTAACTGAGTGCCTCCATACCTGTAAGTAGCGCTTTGCAAAATATCCCTCCTTCATAAGTGATACTTCCTTGAAGTGTTACCTGTTTAATATGATCTCTGTACCGGTTTTTGTTTACCTCTGAAGCGTTGCATGAAATGCTATGCAGTTTCTGGTGGGGTTTCCTAGACACTGGTCTGCCATTTGGGTCATCTTGAGGGCGTGTCTACTCTGCTTAACACCTTGCAGAGTAAAGATACCCCTTTTCCTTCCCCCAAGCTAGTGGTGATTGTGCTGGCTGTAGCGCCAAACATGTATCACTGTGGCCTAGCTGATGTCAAGTAAGATCATTAGGTCGGGTGTGGTATTTTGATAATATAACGATGCTTTTGAAACTTAAGCCAAAGTATCTGTTGGCAGTGTGCATGATGGATACACCAGTTTGGTCAGTACTGGGTCACATCTCTCTGTCGTGTGTTCTGTGGCACAATGCAAAGAAAGACTTGAAAGTTGGCAAAATATTTATTTAGGGAGTAGATCTCTTTGAATGAAACTGACTCAGGAAAAATTATTCAGGTTGTCTTTTGTTCCTAATACTTCTAAAACATTGGTGTGTATGAATTATATTAAACATATGAGTGGTCCTATCAAACTCGGTCATCTTACTTCCACAAGACAAATTACTTACACACTTGACTTTTTTTACATTTATTCCTGAATAGAAGATAGTTTGCTTGGACCTTCTTGAGAATTTCGCATCTTTCCACATAAAACTTGAATTCTTCTAAAGGAAGAGTAAGGGGAACTATATGTTTTCTGGTAGATTTCCCATTTTTAAACCTTTAATAAATGGCCGTTAAAAGCCTTGTCTTAGCATTTCCTGTAATTTCTGCACGGTGTTGCTCTTGCAGTTGTTACTGTTTTCACTGTTAACTTTTACATTATGGTGTTATGTCCCTAGTATATCAAGCACGTAGAGAATTAAAACATATCATTCCTGTATGTTGTTCAAAGCACAAAGGTAATGTTGTTTACCGTTATAATAATATTTTTAGTTTAGTTCTTGGGCAAAAAATAATGTTGAACTGACTTTTTCCATGTCTAATATCAGCTGAGGATTATAATGTATTTTGTGGTATTATTCTTCTCTTTTGGGTTACTTAGTAAAGGAATTTTAAGTTCAGGAGGAGAGAAGTCAAGCAAAATGTCCTTATAAGAATTTGAAATAAAACAGGAGAGAGAAAGGTATATTAGCTATTATTAAATTATCCTTCCCTTTACAGAAAAAATTCCAGCATTAGTTTTTTTTTTTTATGGTTGAAGTTTAATGAACAGTAGTAACTTTTAAAAGGTTGGGGTGAGGGGGAAAAAAGTTGCATCAGAAATCAGCTCAGACTTACAAAAAAAATTGTTTTTATTATGATATCTTTCTGTTTAGATAATTTATTTGTTTATTTACTTTCGCTCCCTTTACAAAACAATAATGGCAGAAGGAGCGTTTTTTTCTCAGCAGCATCTGTTTCTTTTGTTCACTTGTAGATTGTGAGCACTTCACTGAGACAGCTCTGTTAACTGCCTAGTCCCCAGATTAGCGCATGTGAATTTTACTGAGCTACCATATAGTTGCACAGGTGTCCTCTCAGAAAAGCTGCCACATGTTTGGGTCATTAAGTAGAACTGCAAGAAAGAAGGTGGTGTTTTTTTAAAGCAAAGTTTAGTTGCCAAAATACAAAGCTTACAATGATGGAAAGGAAAACAAAAAACTTCAAGAGGTGATATGGAAGCCTTATGTCTCTAGAGGAAAAGGTGATCTGTATGTGGCAGAATTCAGGAAGATACTCTGAGAAATTATTTTACCCTTTGGCTTTTAGAAAATATTTAAACATTTAATTTTTTTAAGTGCAGGTGTGGTTCTTCAGTCATATCCAAATAGTTACCGCAAAATACAATGATTTTAACTGTCCTTTTGTATTTGTCTTGTACTACTAATTGCTGTAATTCAAAACAGCGTTGCACAAATGATCACAATCTGCAGATATTAACAGTTTAAGAAGTAGCATAAATTCATTAGATACTGGGAGTACAATGTATTACTCTGGACAATATGAAAAGCATGTATTGACATAGATGTTCTCCAGTGGTCGTAGAGGAACTGACGTGATCAATAGTAACCAAATCAGTTAGCGGTTAATTCACATCATTTGTGTTTGCTGAAAAATGTTAAGTAGTAAAGTTCTGCTCTGAGAAATGTGTGCCTTTTTAATAAGAGATGTTTCTGATACGGTTTTTGGAAACGTTGGACAGATGACTGCACCGTTTAGTGGGAAGAATAAGTGCAACTTGGGCATCAGCAGTGCAAACTTTCCTATTTCTGTTGGGAAGGAAATGCTTATAATACTGCAAAATAATTAATTATTCTGCAAATTCAGTACTTAGTTTCTTTTTTGCTACTTGCAACAGAATAGTTTTCTCTTACGGACTGAGACCTTTTTTTCTAGTCTGTTACACAGTTGACAAGGATGTTTAAGAACTACTGGTTGAAGTAGGCTACATGTGAGATAAAGGGTATGTCCCATTATCTGTCTCCTGAGTCATTCTGTTGTTTAGCACAGTGTGTGCGTACAAAACTTGGAAAATAAACTTTCCTCAGGAACATTCTTTAGTGCCCTAAAAAATATTAGACCGTTTGCACAATCGTAGAAATGTTGGTTGGAAGGGACATCTGGAGGTTGTCTAGGCCAACTTCATGCATGAGGCAGGTTAGTTGCCAACACTATACCAGATAAAGCCATGGCTCTGCATAACTGAGTTGTGAATTTCCAAGCGTGGAGTCTCCACAGCCTCTCTCAATAACCATTTCCAGTGCTAAGCTCTTTACCTAGTGAAGAAGTTTTTCTGAATGTCCTATCAAACAACTTGTGACCATTACTCCTTGTGATATTATTTGTCACTACCAAGAAGAGTTGGGCTCCGTCACTCCTGTAGCTGCTATTCAAATGGTATAGGCTGTTATTAGATCACCTGTTAGCCTCAACCATGACTTGCTTTTGGTAAATCAATATTCCCTATTCTGATTATGTTTTTGTCCATCACGTAGTTGGGAATTGATTCCAAGGGACATGGCATGATCTGCCATCTTTCCAGGGAGCTAGGGGAGACTGTTTAGCTATAGTTACCTGCATCATCCTTCCCATCTTTCTTAAAGGTGGGCATAACACGCTACCCTTTTCCAGTCATCAGGCACCTCCCATAATCACCATGATTATGGTGATGAGCTTTCAGCGTAGTGAATCCTACCTGGCCTATAGATTTGAATACATCCAGCTTTTCTCAGTAGGCCCTAACCTGCTGCTCCCTGGCTGCTGGACATTCCTCTCCTTCCCAAATCGTGCTGGTATGCGTGGAGATCTGGGATCAGGCTCTGCCTGTGAAGACCAAGGCAAAAAAAATATGGAAGACTTCAAGCCTTTCTATATAATATATTCCTAAGTTGTTTCCCTTATTCGTTAACAGACCCACATTTTATCTCAATTTCCTTCAGCTACTAGCCTACTTGCAGAATCCCCTTATGTCCCTCATCAGTTTTAGCTATGGCTGGGCTTTGGCCTTCCTAATTTTGTCCCTAAGTGCCAGAGCAATGATTTTATATCCTTTTGTTTCCCATTCTTGTTTCCACTTCTAATATGCTCTGGTTTTGCATATTAATTAGTAAGCTTGTGCACCAAGCGGTTCTTGTGCACTAAGCAGTTCTTCTGACAAAATTCTCTGTACAATGGGCTGGTTAGCTCTTGAGGTCTAAATAAATTTTCTTTAAAAAAACCTTTTCTTCTAAGTACCTTTCTTTCTAATGATAGCCTCCTTGGGAAATCTGGCTAGCAGTTGCTTAAACAAGCTTAAGTCCCATCTCCTGAAGTTCACAATCCTAACTCTGCTGTTTAACTTTGTATCCTTCCTCAAGATCCTGAACTCAGTCATCCTTGCAGTCATCCTGCAAGGCAGCTGCCATCTGCAGCTGTATTCATCACCAGTTTTTCCCTGTTTATGAACAGCAGATCAAGTGGTGCATTACTCCTAGTCGGTCTCCGTAGTATTTGCCTTAAGAAATTGTCAACCAATGCAGTCTAGGAACTTTCAGAAGTGTCCTTCCATGCAGGAGGATGACCAGAGATGTAATTTTCAGTATCAGACCAATAATCTTGCAACCAGAGTGTTTTTCAGATTTTTCTAAAAACTTACGCTCTCACCAGGAGATCCCAAAAGAACTTTACTGCAGCAAAATATCCCACCCTTAGGCAAGCAAGCTGAGCTGCTTTCATACTCCTTCTCCTGCAGAAGCTTCAGTCAATGGCATGTAGCAGGTCTTAGAGGTTAGCAGATCTGTCTTATTTTGAAATAGAAGACTTCAACTCAAAAAGTCTTTCTTGATGACCACGTACTATATTATCTCTCCCTTTTAACAGAAGGGAATCCAGCCTGACTGTGTCTGGTAATTGTAATTAACAGTGGAGTAGTCTCACCTGTATAGTTTCTGAGAAGGTGGTTAAGTGTATTAAAGTTTTCTGTCCTGTTTTTATGCAGATGCATTTTCCCAGGTTTAAGGTAGCTAGTGAAATACTTCATTAAACATACCAAATGACTTGTTACATCTCTATGCCATTACTGAGATGGGTTTGATGTTCCACTAGCTGTGAGTATCCCGTGCCTCTCCTTTGCTGACTGGATCAAAGAGTGATTAACTTGAGAGAGGAGATCCTGGGAAGAATTCAAAGAATGAGTTCTGACAAAGAATTTGTCCCACAATTAACTAATTAAGCTTTCTCTTATAGAATATTTTGTTTAAAAAATGCAATATGAAGTTTTATTTAGGTACCTTGTTAATCAGCATTTAAAAAAAAACCTGGGAAGAGTCTTCTCATTGAACAATATGTGTGTAGATATGCATAAGATAGGTACTTTGTTTGTTTGCATAAGATGACATACAGCACGGTCCTGACACTTGTATCTGTATTTTTCAGCTGATTACAAAGATCTGAAAGAACGTGTG